GTCAAGTGGGATTTGTGGCGGATAAAGTGGCGTTGGGGCGGGTTTTCTCCCAGTACTTCGGTTTCCCTTGCCAATCTTCATTCCACCAAATTCTCCATCATCATAATCACCCGAGGCAGGCTCCAATAGGCCAATCAGTCGCCGCGTGCCGAGTGGACCCAGTTGGACTCCACCCCCCATTAAGCGACTATATATTCTTACGGTCTGGATGATCCACAGTAACGACAAACTCATATGATAAGTTTATATTTGGCTCAATTTTCGCCATAACGAACCCATAATGTTCCCTCAGCTATATACAAGCACCTGATTACTCACCACCGTGACCATACATAAGATCGCCATCCTAACTTAATTCCGAATAAATGCAATTGAGTTGATAAATCACAGTCAGTTTAGGATTTGGTGGTTCCGAAAATGTTGAATTTTCTGTTAGGGAGAACCAAAAGGGGGTGATATTCTAGTATTGAATTTGGGCGGAGAAAAAACTGGCACGTTACTTAATTGACACAAAGGACTTCAACAGAATATTTACGAGAACTAAGTAACAAAGAAAGGACATGAGATGTGGAACTCTGAATGTCGGATATTTTTTTCTACAACGCAGATCGGTGTATTATTTATTGATCACGTGAGCGACAATGAGGTTCTAAAAAAATCTGTTCCTAGGCGATAATAGATGGCCCTACGATCCGCGACGCGTTAACTTCTCGAAGTTAACACTAGGGACCGCGGGGGCATGGCTGAGCATCATCTGCCTGTACTGCACTGCGTTGTTCTGTGTAGCCTACGCAAGATACAACAGACACTATATATGTATAGCACAAAATATACACCAATCAGGAACACACATTACGAAAGAAAATGAAATTTTAATTCAAAATTTAAGATTAAATAATAAAATTAGGGGAAAACGCGATAAAACGGTGTATAAAGTGCAGTAATTTCGCCCAAACAATTCCAACGCTCCTGATGATTGCCGTACAGCCGGGAACCTGCTGTGCGAAATATGACAAATAAAGAAATGTTAAAAGAATTCTAGAACGTATAAAATAAGTTTTGAATTTTGAAACTTCTAGTGTTAAGTTGCACGGGAGACGGGAGTGAATACGTGGAAAAATTTACAGTGCAACACGATGCTGAAAATTCAGCATTATTCTTCAGTTCGATGTTGGCCTACTTCACGCGCACATTTCTCAGCGCTCTGTTCTCAAACGCCCTCATCAGAGTCGGAGGCATCGTTGGTGTCTGTTTAGAACAAGGGTAGAAGAAATTTAATGCCAATCGCTTGTTTATAATTTTAATTTACTTACTTCCTTTCTTCCGGCATAGCGTAGTCGGTAAAGCGACTGGCTACGGGCTGCACGACCGAATGATCGGAGTTGGAGTCCAAGTAGGGTCGAGGATTTTTTATTCTCCACGTCGTCCAGACCGGCTCTGGGGCCCACCCAACCTTCTATCCAATGGATACCGGGGGCTCTTTCCCCGGGGGTAAAGTGGCCGGGGAGTGAAGGTGACCACTCACCTCTAGCTAGTACCGTGGTCAAGAAAATGTGGCTCTATACATCCACTCCACCATACGCCTTCATGGTATAGTGCATAATTAATTAAGCACAGGAATAACTTTACCTGTCTTCCTTTCTTGGAATACTAAGAACTCTACTTGGAGAATGCATTCTGCTCTTATCTAAATCAGATGCCAGACATTACGAAGCGTAAAGGGTAAAATTCTAATATTGGTTTTCTGAAATGTATTTGAGGGTACGCCGTACCCTCTTTGGATTTGGTTTAGATCTAGCAACTTTATAATCACGATGACACGATATGTCACTATCTAATGATGACCCATCCTCAAAGATATTTTAGGAATAGTATATAAATCATTAGCCGGTCACGGTAGTCGAGCGGTCTAAGGCATGTACTGTCTTCGCTCGCTTGGAAACCGGGATCGTGGGTTCGAATCCCACTCAGGGCATGGATGTTAATTTTGCGTGTGTGTGCGTTTTTCTGTGTTTGTGTATAGGTAGAGGCCTTGCGACGAGCTAATCGCCCGCCCAAGGAGTCCTACCGAATGTGTAAGATCTAGAAAAACCGAAGAGAACGGAGAAGTTCATGGAGGTAGGCCTAGGCCCACTGGGGCTGTAGTGCCAGGGGGAAAGAAAATATAAATCATTAATCACTACACACGCAGGAGCCTATAAGGAAGTGTTTAAGAGAAACAGGTTAGGGACAAAATACAAGCGCGCCCATTTACCGCTAAACAGGCATTCTTCCTGATCTTCTGAGTTGTCAGTACCCGGCTACAAGACTGCACGTTGTCACAACCCAGAAGATCAAAAAGTGAGACATCATCGCCATGAAAACATCAAAATCCCTCTCTTCATTCGGAATTAATCTTGAAATGAACTGCATATCCAATGACCAATCAAATACCACACGCATTTAATTACCAGTTACTTAATCCTTGTAATGACTGCTATGTTGGCAACTTAGCAGCGAAATTAAAAATATTTCTAAATTCATATGACAGGTAACAACTTCATGTCCTATACCGTCAACGTTGGAGTGCAGTATGCAGCAGGAGTTTCGTTACATAACACAAATTACAAGTCAAGGTTTTAACAATTATTTCTGATTAACCGTTATTCCAAATGAATTGAGACCAAATATATCCATTACATTAAATGTATTATATAAGTAATAAATATCGAATATGCAGGATATATTTTTAGAAAATATTTTCTTTATTTCAAATTTTTTTTTGTTAATCTTTTCAGAACCCGTTTGGCGTAACTGTCGCCAATGTTCGTTGAAAGAAACGCATGTTACATTAACATATAAAAATAAAAATTATGAAAACGTCCATAATATATCTGGTTAAAAAACGATAGTAAATATTTCGAAACGTGTATCTTCATTTATGAGTTTCATTTTGGTTTACAAATAATTCCTATTCGTTTACTCTGAATCGAAGTGGCAACCAAGTTCAACTCTTTTCCTTTCCCACACCAATGTCTCAAACAACACTTAAATACCATATATTCATAACATTCCGCTGAAAAAAAAAACAACAAATATTTTGTGAGATAGAATCAAAATTTATGCCACTAGGGCGTAATAAAAAAATTATTTTCGCTTTTTTTCCCCCAAAAATATCCCCTCCCCAATAAAATTCTATATATGTCACGGCCCCGAAACATAATACCCTTATCCACACGGCATCTAATCATGCAAAACCGCAAAGCCCTGCTTGGTGCCTTACCCTCTTATTCCAGGGACGATATGTTAACAACATGGCCGTCGCTGACAAAGACAGGAGCAACTGGATTTTGAATGCACGAAAACTCACTCCACCACTGTATCTGTTCCCCTTCCACGACGCGGTATTTTTACAACCCGCTTCTTTACCCAACGATTGCTGCTTGAAGTTTGCATAAATGTCATTTCCAACAGGTCCAAAGTCCGTATCATACATATTCAGCATCCAGCACCTCTGTGTACTCGTCACATTAAAATCTCGAGTCGCCGCTCATGTTGACATATTGTACTTCCTTCTTACGACACGGGGTCTGGTACGAAACGAAAGTAATATGTTCTGTCTTGTGCACACGTTTCTGTGTGCAGTACACTGTCCGTCATGTTACAAAATTATACTCTGGCTGAGGGGCATCATTTCAATAAAATTTCACTCACCATTTCAAAATGTATATGCCCCATTTCCCAATTAGCTTTGTAATACGCGTAGGGAACACCGTATCGGGGAATTTATCAAAGATGGCTTGTTCTTTAGAAAATACCAGTAAAGGCTAACCTCACAACAGTTGGCGCCATATGCTTGGCTAACTCCAAGTTCGTCATAATTCGCAAGCTGTTTCTCGCTTTCTATCATTGCATTTCGATACACGACATATGATGAACTGTGGACATCGGTAGAAACATACGCAATTAGGTGTCAGCTTTATTAAAAAAAAAAGACGATACAATGATGCCCCTTGGAAATCCTTTTATTTCATTAACCTGAAATTTGCAGTTTTATACATGTTTCCGTTATATTTTCATTCTCTTCACCACTTCACCATTTTCTGCCTAATTTTGTCGATGATATGGTCGAAGTATGTCACTCTAGCGCTGGCGGGTTTTTCTGGTTTACTAATTTAAATGCATGTGCAGTGACGCAAGTTGTTATTTGCGGGAGATCATAATGCGTTTCATACGACAGGTAGGTAAGTAATTTAAAACTTACGAGCAGTATGTACGTTGCATATATGATGCTCACTCCACAGAGACATAAACCACAATAATTATAATCGATACATCTACACGGGTCTATAAATACCCCCATCAGCTACGTCAATAAAAAAAGAACTTACAACGGATGCCAGAACGTTTCACGGCAAAAATACTAAATATTTTACTTTATTGCTTTAACAAAAAAACAAATGTAGGGAAATCAAACTAAAACTTCAAACGTATTGTCATTAGTAAAATGGGGCTCCTGCGAATTTCATTAAAAAGAATTGTGTACATCCTCGCTCGTTTGGCGGAAGAAAAAAGTAAATATGAACAAATTAGACGAAATGCATGGACATTCTTGTTTTTTTTACCCCTTGGCACTACAGCCTCAGTGGGCCTAGGCCTACCTCCATGAACTTCTCCGTTCACTTCGGTCTTTCTAGATCTTACACATTCGGTAGGACTCCTTGGGCGAGTGATCAGCTCGTCGCAAGGCCTCTACCTGTACACAAACACAGAAAAACGTACGCGCGCGCACACACACACACACAAACTAAACATCCATGCCCTGAGTGGGATTCGAACCCACGCTCCGGGTTTCCAAGCGAGCGAAGACAGTGCATGCCGGACATTCTTATTTACCAGACGAAAAATAAGTGTAAATACAGCAATCGAAGTAGCCTCTGCGATCAAAAGTAAATTCCTGTGCAAGTTCTTGTTTACTGGATGATAAAAAGAGTCGAAATAAGGGCCACTGCACTACTCACGTGTACACAGTGAGGCGCATCCAGCACTTCAACCGCACGTGGTGCTACAAGGAGCAGCAACCACTAAATCCAACACCATGATCCTTCTCACCGCTGCTAGAAACCCCTATCACCATCAGCACGACAACGTCAAGACACCATCACCAACACTGAGACGTCACCATCACACCAAAAATTCACAACAAATTTATATCACTTATCCTATGTTCTGGTTAAACACGTCTTGTCCTCTACACACGTGGACACAAAATATTAGCGGTAGAATTACGTTAGAAAACAAACAAGATCAATTTATGCTCTAGTCAACAGAACATGAAGGATTTGATTATTTCAGTGTGTTCATAAATATTCTGTGAACAGACCCTTAACAGCAAAAAGAAAACCAACTTGTGACGCAGATAGCGAAGCTAAGACCGCATATCTCTTCAGCACTATCAAACTACTCTTATGACACAGCGGCGTCCGTGAGCGACACACGAACTGTGATATACAAACGCACTGCAGAGATGCCCGCTAGCAACTGGCGAACACCTTTACTCGGCGAGTCCTGATAATGCACTGTGTGTGTGCCTGCCTACTGCGACCAGCCTGCCTCACGCCAACCAGCAAGCGGCGAGGAGGAAGCTAGCCAAGGGGCCCCAAAAACACTTACAACATTTCACAGTGTACAAGCTTACACATTTTATTATAACATATATAAAATAAACCCTAAATATAAGAAAATGCGAACAATCCACTGCACCTAACTGAACGAGAGATGAAAATATGAATTTCCCGCCACAAAGTTTATGGTATGCAGACATTTTCACTGACCTCTGGTGGTTTCAGTGGAAATGTGGCGCTTAGCATTCATTTGTTCGTCGGTTTCTTGCCTTACGAAGGAACAGGGTATGTACGCGCCCGTTGTATGGGCTCTATCCCCTAGGGCAAGCCTTCGGAATGTCGGTAGTCCTCGTTACATGCGAATTCGAAAATCGTGATTTCATTTTAACACGCTCAACTAATTTAGAGTCATTTCAATTAACAGCATTCATTTTAATGGGAACTGCTTGTTGGCCGGTCGAGAGAGGTGAGGAGAAAGGGGAGTAGAGTATTGTGCTAGAGGCCGAAGAGGAGTGTTAGGGGAGAAGGGAAAATTTAGCCCAGCTAATGTTCGATTTATGTAGTTTCACCCTCTGTGACCTGTTTTTTTTTTTCTTTGGAACCCACCTTTCACAAACACTGAGGTGTGACTCCACTATGAATTCTACAATTCCGGTTCATGTTGAGGACTACTGCAAAATAAGTTCTTTTGTTTTCTTAAGTTGGCTACTTGACAATGCTATCAGTATCGAAACTATACTGCGCGGATAGTAGGATGATTAGGACATATCGAAAGTTAGCGCAATGGAAATTAGCATTGGAAACCGAGGTACTCGGAGTAAATATGACTCTGTGCATTTTGTGCACCACAAACGCCATGAGACCGACCTTGGGATCGAACCTGGGTAGCCGCTGTAGGAAAGCACATAGTGTAAAATGGATTGGGAGCTTTCTGATGGTTATTTATATAACGACACTGTTCCAACTGTACAGGATCGTACGAGAAACAGTAACATAATTATGAACGACAAATTCTGGAGGAGGTAGAAGTAAGTGTCAATAATCTACTATAAAGAGCTGGCTCATTATTTGGATGAAGACTTGGTAAAACCATGAAAAGCCTCAGTCAGGAAATCAAGTCTCTGGATCGACATTCGAATCTTCGGATCTCCTGAATATAAAGTCAAAATACATAACCAATAAGCCGCGGCGTTCCGTAGGCTATGAGCGGTTTGAGATAAAGTCAGCACTCTCGTGTGGATATGAATTGAATGGAACTGGCTCAGATTGGAGGCCACAGTGGGGTTTGGTATCAACGATGCTGTTCCGTCAGGATTGTGTTACCAGAGATCTAGTTCCTTGGTAACAATTTCTGCTTAATCCTTTAAAATATGTATTCATCTAAATAATAACTAACTAATTAAGTACTACACAATGAAGACATAAGGGGGAGTGGATATATAGATCCAAATTTTCTTGACCTGGGCACTAGGAGGTAAGTGGTCAGCTACTGCCGCTTTATCCCCGGGGAAAAAGCCCCCGATACCCATTGGATTGGAGGTTGGGTGGACCCCAGAGCCGGGTCTGGACGACGTGGAGAAGTTACAATTCCTGACACTACAGGAACTCGAACTCAGATCCCTCGGTCGTCCAACCCCTAACCAGTCGCTATACCGACTACGCTCATAATAAGTATTAAAAAAAACAGATCCTGCCCCACATAGCACACACTGCATCTACAATACAAAGACCAGCAACTTAATGGTGTCAGGATAATATTGCTCTTCATTACGAAATATAAGTACAGAACCGGTGCTGAATGTGGAATGTTGAAAGAGGCGATAGATAAGGATTGCTAGGTCGAAGGATGAAATTAAAATGGATCTTAATAAAAAATAAAGTGAGGTTGGGAGATGGATTCATTTCTGTCACGATGTGGATCAGTACAGTGTAAGCTGACACGTAGGATAACGCTTCAGACTGGCATGCGGAAGGCGCCCAGTTCGAGTCTCGTCTCCGACACCGTTTATCCTTACTAAGGTCTTTTCGAATTGTCCTCAGTCTCTCAAGGCAGATACCGGGCCGTTACGACTACGACGTCACCGCTTCCTTCCAGCTCCTTTCCAATTCGTTATTCACTATTGCCTTATCACTCGACGTTGTACAGTGTCGGTTGCCCACAATTCAGATAAGTAGGAGAGGAAGCAGTGGTGAGCTACTATGAACTAAGTTGTGAGCCTTTGGGTTTCAAACAAGGCAGATTTATTCCTGTACTTAATTAAGTAAGACGTATGGGGTAGTGGAGATATAGCTCCACTATTCTTAACCATGACATTAGATGGCGGTAAGTGTTCAGTTTTCTGGTCTAGAAAACCGAGATTATCGGCCATGGGAATCTGTTGCGCTGACCGCTCGACACCCTCTATCCGCAAAAGTTGGCACTAATTTCGCCGACAAGCGGCGGTCGCTCAGTCGGTATAGTTCGCTTGTGGACTAAAGGCCACGGAGGAAGGAAGTGTTGAGTTTCAAACTCTGACTTCTTTAGCAATGGTATAGAATGTTGTGTAGGCCCCAGAGTCGATCTGAGCGTTGTAAAGATGAGAAAAATCGCTTACACTTGCCACGAATAGAATCTCAGTTCCTTGATTGTCCAGCCTATTAGCCAGTCACTATGCCGAGTGAGCAATCGAGGCACATCGAGCTGAGATACTACCATTCTGTAGAGAAGGAATCTGTTCCGTAAAGTTAGTTCTATGTAACACGCAGTCTCTTGGGCTTTTGGTAGGTTTTCTTGAGTGGGGAATCGACCCGTCGAAATTGGTATACGTGACAATGTATGACAATCCATAAGAAAGGGCGTGTAACCATGCCCCTCAATTAGGTTCGAATCCAAGATTTCACAATTCGAATGATCTGTGATGTGGCGTGTAAGCACTATGAAACACGGCTACTGACATCAAGAACTCTGAATCACAGGCACGTCCATATGATCTTGTATCGTAAATGTATCCTCTTAAAGTTTACGATATTTTAGTACGTTTCTGCCCTATGCTCGTCACGTGAAGGAGTCCAGTAATCAGTTAGACATGATCCATAAACAGAGCTTAATAATGTGGACAGAAGGAGTATTTGCAGTTAAGTAAGAGGAATCCGACGTACAAGACCAAATATGTGAATGCAAATCAATTCTTGTTCGGCAGATGAAAATCGAACTCTGTAACTTTCCGCTGAACTTCATCACTTCTAACAGACATGCCGACACAAATGTTCAACAGAAACAGGTACATATGCAGTTCAAATGTAACGCTCTTACGTGTACTTTGCATTCCTCATTGGCATCAACGTAAACTCATTGCACATACAAATCTGCTGTTGGAATATCTAATAAAAATACAAATATTACAATTTGTTTAGTCATAAACTCCAGTAATGACAAAACTAACAAACAGATGCACCTATGTTATGTGTATTCTTAACAGAATTTTTTGACACCCTACGTTAAATATTAATGTAGAAAAATATTTCAAACAGAGACATTACTGTAGCTCTATGCCATAACAAGATATTTATTGTGACAAGCCGGAAGTGTGCAGACAGAGAAGCAAAGCAGAGATGTCTATTGCTAGAAAACGGTTAGATGAAACACGTTTCCGCGGCAACGAATCCGCTTGTATAAATCAATGCGTTGGCCGGAGATTGTCATATGTTTCGTGGCAACAGAGAATAAAAGAGGAATGAACTGTCCGACTAGGTGTTCTATATTCGGTCCGCATGAAGTTAGTTCAGCCCGAGGTTCAGGCAACGTGAGAGATTCGTTATCAGGAAGTAGTTCAATGTGTGAATTATTATAATTAACTGTAATTGTAAGAGAAACTTCCAATAAATCCATTCATCAATTCTAGAAACCAGAAATATTCGTCACGCTACACCTTATACGTGACAGTATATAATGGTATGAATAAATCTTTTTGTATGATGACGCGTTTCAAATACTCGTAATCTCGGTTGAACACAACTTCCTCATCAGTGCAGATCAGGGTAAAATCTGAAGGGAGATGCTGACAACACACCTCCACGTTTTGCAGATATTAAAATTGAAACGTAGCTCAACTTCACCCTCCCCCATAGAAGTATGACCTCATAACTAATTAACTCCATGGAGATGAGTCCTTCTTGAGGATTCGTCAGTTGAGTAGCTACTCGAGAATTTCCCAGCATTTTATGGAACCCGAAGGTTCATTACCGTGTTCACAAGGACTCTCCACTGGTCTCTCTCCTGAGTCAGATAAATTCAGCCCATGTATTTTCTCATTAGCCTGCCATTAAACTCGATCAAAAGCCAGTTCAGTCCAGTTCACATCCTCGAAACTCACCTTGAATTCGCTCTAAAATTATGTTTGATTTGCGGTTATCACGGCGGTGATTATGGCCCTTCCGCCTGATTATGTTTCTTCTTCCTTCGCTTCCTATTTGACCTTGAAGATGGAGGTGGTGCGTTCCTTAGAAACGTCGGGCTCTCTCCAAAATCTATACGGCGTTACAGCCCACTTCAGTATTATCCTTTAATCTACAGTTAAATTTACCACGTTGTAATTTTTCAAAAGATATTTTACAGTCAGACTTTGTATATATTTCTTGTTTCGCTCATACACAATATATATATATATACAGTACCTGTATACGTACAGTACCTGTTTTAAAGTTCCTGGTTATGTAAGTTTCTCAATTTCGTGGACATACCTCCCGTAGGTCCCGATATTCTCCTCAGTACTTCATCTGACCCCCAACCTCTGCGCCTCCCAGAGCGTGAGGAACTGAGTTTCACATCAACAAATAATAATGCGCAGGCGCAGAATTCATGTTGTTGAAGACATCGATCTCTAGATCCATTTATTTCAGACTTTCTACATGTTGGAAATCATTCGGTGCACAAGGAACAAGATGACTCACCTCCA